ACCTGCCACTGTCAGTCTCTCAAACTGCCGGGAAAAACTATCGTTAACGACATGATGACATGACTTCTCGAGCGCAGCTTGTAGGCAAGACGAGGCAATGCTTCTCTTGACCAGCTTGGAGTGCGATGAAGCATATGGAAGAAGACCCTTCTTTGAGCGTGGGTGATAAGACCAGCAAACGTGTTTAGCAATGAATTCTAATCTCAAATGCAAAAATTGTAGGTAAGCCCCCCCATCCTGAAGTTTGTGAGTGAAAGTGAGCCCCTCCGAATGATGTGTCAAAACTTCTAAAACAGACCTCACGACATCTGCCCTCACATATGCCCTCCAACCTAATAAACAAAACCAAAAAGTCATCCACGTAACGAAACACTTTACAAACGCGCTCGTCATTCAGTTTTTCAGAAATGGCCCTATCACACTTGGCTAAAAAAATATCACAAAGCACAAGCGCCACAGACGAACCGATACAAATTCCTTTTTTCTGAACGTAAAGCTTACCGTCAAATAGGATAAAGTTGACTCCAGATAAAACTTGAGAAGCTCTAAAAACCCATCAGTACACACACCGCTAGCGTTCTGGAAGCCAATCTCGCCATTTCTTTCAATACATTCACGTACTGCGACAAACAGAGCGCAATGAGGGATGGAATAAAAAAGATCATCAGCATCTATGGAAAAGCCCCCCACATCTGTGACTGCACCACTATTAAGGTAATCTATGACACTCTGAGAATTGCGCAAGAAGAACACTAATATACTTGTATCTCTCAGTTTGTTGTAGAGGAACAGCATTAGGAGTAAGAGGAGAGGAAGTTTGGAAGGTGGAAGGAAAGAAGCGCATGTGTTCATATTTGTTAACGTTGAGGGACATTTGCGAATTACTAAACCATTTACTAATAGAGTCAAGGTCATCTTGTAGCGCTGCAGAATCAGAGGGAGATGCTATTTTACGATAAACGACACAGTCATCTGCAAATAAACACATTGATGAAGACACCTGAAGTGGAAGGTCGTTGATGTAACTAAGGAAGAGTAGGGGACCAAGGACTGTTCCTTGGGGCACACCGGATGTTACGGGGACGAAGGCAAATGAAGAGTCGTTAGCATAAACAAACTGGTTTCGTCGCGAGAGGAAATATTCAATCCATGAGAGTACGTTGGTGTCAAGTTTTAACGATGAAAGTTTTAGTAGCAGGTGGTTATGCGGTACTTTGTCGAAAGCTTTAGCAAAGTAAAGAAATACAGCATCGGTTAGAAAACCGAAGTCGAGGTTAGAAAAAAGGTCATGGTTTAAGCAAAGAAGCTGTGTTTCACAAGAAAAGTTTCTACGGAAGCCGTGCTGTGCCTTGTTAAAAAAATGAAATGGAATCAAGGTGAATGGATAGAGTCGGCAGTGGCACAGCGAACAGAAACACTGACTGTTCTACTGTTTTGCTTCACATTCATAGGACTACGCAACGACGTCTTATCGAGCCCAGCCTTCGTCGACGCAAGAGAAGTGTGCCACATCATCACCGTCTGTGGAGCGGCTGCCTGGGACGTCATCAGCACGTGACCACCATCCGTGCTAGAAAAGCGCACCATCCACGAACTGTACTTCCAGTCGGCAGTGGCACAGCGAACAGAAACACTGACTGTTCTACTGTTTTGCTTCACATTCATAGGACTACGCAACGACGTCTTATCGAGCCCAGCCTTCGTCGACGCAAGAGAAGTGTGCCACATCATCACCGTCTGTGGAGCGGCTGCCTGGGACGTCATCAGCACGTGACCACCATCCGTGCTAGAAAAGCGCACCATCCACGAACTGTACTTCCAGTCGGCAGTGGCACAGCGAACAGAAACACTGACTGTTCTACTGTTTTGCTTCACATTCATAGGACTACGCAACGACGTCTTATCGAGCCCAGCCTTCGTCGACGCAAGAGAAGTGTGCCACATCATCACCGTCTGTGGAGCGGCTGCCTGGGACGTCATCAGCACGTGACCACCATCCGTGCTAGAAAAGCGCACCATCCACGAACTGTACTTCCAGTCGGCAGTGGCACAGCGAACAGAAACACTGACTGTTCTACTGTTTTGCTTCACATTCATAGGTGAGTGCGGCTGCACCTACATAAAGCCTTTCCTTTCTCTTTGCCACTGCCGACTGATTTGACTGCTTTGAGTGTTTTGTGCTTCTTGCGCGGTTCGCCTATCATGAGCTCTGATTGTGCTGAGGTTATGAAAGCCATTCAGGATTTGAAGCGCGAGATGCGTGCAGAACTACGATCAGTACATCAGAGCCTTGAATACAGCTCGAATGCTGCTGACGAATTCAAGAAAGCCTTAACGGAGCTACGCGCTCTTACATCTGAAGTGAAGAAGGCCAAGGAAGACTATGCTGAGCTAAAGAAAGAAAATAACACCCTAACAGAAAAGTTGATGAAAGCTGAAGCACGGGTTTCTGAGTTGGAACAATACAGCCGGTTGAATAACGTTGAGATTAAGGGCCTGCCTGCCACTGTCAAAGAAAGAGCACACGACATGGCTATAAAAATCGCAGAGGCTATCGAAGTCCCACTTGACCTTGCTGAAATCGACATCGCCCACAGCGTTCCAACCAAAAAAGAAAACGAAGTAAACATAATTGTCAGGTTCATGTCTAGGTCAAAGCGCAACGTGTTCCTGGCCGCTGCCAAGAAGCTGAAACTGTCTACTTCTAAAATCGGGTTCGAAGGACCAGACCAGCGTGTCTATGTTAATGAGCATCTAACGCCAGAAAACAAACGGCTACTTGGTGCTACGATTTCTAGAAAGAAACAAGTATCTTGGAAGCACGTGTGGACAAGGAATGGCGCTGTTTTCGCACGGAAGACAGACGACTCTAATGTCCTCCGGATCTATTCTCTGATTGACTTGTCCAAAATGACGTAAATGGCGCCATTGTTTCATAGATTTATTACCTGATTCTTTATACCCTCATGAATGACACCCCTCTTTTCACACCTTCTGAGTTTAATGCGTCTATAGCACTAGATGCGAATAAATATATTCAAGTTATACATCTTAACATGCAATCTGCCGTGAATAAAGCTGATGAGCTAACTGTCCTCTTAGACGATCTAACGCGTTCCTCGTGTTCTTTCGATGTCATTTTCTTGTCTGAAACTTGGTATCGGGCTGATAGTGATGTTGTACGTATTCCGGGGTATAATTCTTTTTATATCAATCGCACAGAAAAGCGTGGCGGGGGCGTAGCTATGCTGATAAAAAGTAGCTATGCCTGTGATATGTTATCTGATCACTCTTTTTCCAACTCTGATATTGAAATGCTTACCGTGAAATCTGGACGTAATATATTTTCGGTTGTCTATCGACCACCTCATGGAAACTTTGGCGAATTTTGGGAGATATTTGAACGTGAAACGTTTTTATTTAGTTCTGAAAATTATTTGTCCATCATAGCTGGCGATTTTAATATTGATATGGGTACGAATAGCCCAATGCAACAGCAAATGTTACTCACACTTCATTCAACAGGTTTTCAAAATGTTATTAACAGTCCAACGCGCATTACAGCTTCTTCTGCTTCCACTTTAGACTTAATTATTACTAATAATGACAACGCATTCTTTTCCGGTCGCATCGCTGCCGATATTAGCGATCACTTACCTGTTTTCTTGCGTATAGAAAAAGCAACTTGTTCGAACGATGTCGCTAAATTGAGACGCCAGCTAATATCTCAAGAAAGGCTCGACCTATTTAAGTACCGTATTTCCTTGGTGGATTGGAGCCCTATTTATAATGAGCCAGCTGCAGATGATGCTTTTAACAGGTTTCTAGAGCTCTTCACATCAGTATATAATGAATGTTTTCCCACTGTAGAAATAAAACCATGCAAAAGTGCGCGTAAACCATGGATGACTAGACGTTTAATTAGACTCGTTAAAAAGAAATACAAATTATTTGCAATATTTATTAAAAACAAAAATCCTACCGTGCTCGCAGAATATAAGTCCTTACGCAACCGACTAAACAGGGAAATTAAATTGGCGAGAAATATGTATTATAATAATTTCTTTGGTTGCCAGACTTCTAGCAATCTTAAGGAAAATTGGAGGCGTCTAAATTTGCTCCTGAATAGACATACTAATACCCAAGCGATCACAAGCTTAACGGTTAATGGAACTGAGCTATCGGGTTCAGATCTCGCTGCATCATTCAATTACTTTTTTTCGACTGTAGGTGACAGTCACTATAATTCCGGCATTTTTGATTTTCTAAGTGATAGGTTAACAGAATCAATATTTTTTGAACCGACTGACGAGCTTGAGGTTTTTTCAATTTTCAAAAGTCTGAAAGATACGAATAGCCTCGACTCTCATAATATACAAAGTCGCCCAGTAAAATATGTTTTACAAATAATTACACCATGTCTAACACATATTTATAATGTAGCGCTTATGACGGGACACTTTCCAACAGCTATGCAGCTAGCCAGAGTAGCCGTAATTTATAAAAAAGGAAATAAGAACGACTTCGGTAACTATAGACCAATATCTATACTTCCGTTTTTTTCTAAAGGGTTAGAACGAATAATTCATCGCCGCCTCAATCATTTCTTCTTAAAGCATTCTGTAATATCCGATTGCCAATATGGGTTTACTAAAAATAGATCAACGGAACACGCCTTGCTTGCCCAAAAAGAATATATTTTGAACAATTTTGAATCACAACGTCTTACTCTTGGCATTTTTATTGACTTTAGTAAGGCATTCGATACTGTAAATCATAAAATACTTATCGCTAAGCTCGAGCATTACGGCGTACGAGGACACGCCCTCAACCTTATAAAATCATATTTAAGCTCACGATTACAATATGTTGTAATAAACCACTCTCGCTCCGATTCCCTTCAAATTTTTAATGGTGTCCCTCAGGGTAGCATCCTTGGACCACTCTTGTTTAATATATATATAAATGACATTTCCAATATTAGTACCCTTGTAAAGTACGTTATTTACGCTGATGATACGAGCCTTTTCTTTTCCTCCTCTGACGTTGAACAACTAACTGGCACTGCTAACCGAGTATTGGCATTATTATCACGGTGGTCATTAGTCAACTCATTGAAAATCAACAAAGAAAAAACTAAAGCTGTAATATTTCGTCCTAAAGGAAAGCTTGTAATGCACCCACCGCCTTTAGTTTTGAGTGACACCATTATCGAGTATGTAGAAACGTTTAGATCCCTCGGTGTAAGTTTTACCGCAACGATGACATGGGACGCCCACATAAACGAGGTTTGTCTTGCCCTTTCTAAGGTTGTAGGAATAACCTCGCGTAATAAGTACGTTCTACCTGAAAAAACTAAACTTACTTTGTATTACGCTTTCTTTTATTCATATTTAAGCTATTGTTTTCTTGTCTGGGGTAATACCACAACATCCAATATTCAGAAGCTTCTGATCTTGCAAAAGAAAATGCTACGTGCTATTACAAAAGCTCCATATAATTCCCCAACCGGGCATGCTTACTCGCAGTTTAAAATTGTGCCTGTATATAATTTATTTGAATATAGATTCGCGTGTTTTTACAAAAATAGTATAGCTAAAAACGATAATTTTCTTTCACGTATTGTTTCTACTGTGCCCCACAATACGCCTTATGCAACCAGGGAAAAAGACAGCTTTGTTTTACCTAGATGTAGAACGAACTATGGCTTTACAATGTTGCGATATATCTTGCCTAAGTTTTTGAATACTCCTCTATGTGATCACCTGAATGGTATGTCTTCTTCTGTCCTTAGGAACGCTTTTCTATAATTTGTCTGTACTTCTCATTTTTGTTTGTATTGTTCATTTTGTATATATATATTATTTTTTACCGCGTTTACACTGCTGACTTGTAAGGGTGGCGAGGCCCGTCAAGCAGTGGACGACACTGCTTTTTTCTTGCCACCCTCAGTTTGTATTTCAAGCTGAAATAAACGCTGATTGATTGATTGATTGATTATGTGCTCCAGTATTTTTGTAGGTACAGAAGTAAGAGAGATAGGCATATAGTTTAAGGGAGATGATTTATTACCGCTCTTGTGGACCGTTCACACTGAAAGAATAAAACCACAGAAAATACACGAGGGACAGACACACACAGTTCTTTCAACGAGCAACTACATTTAAATGATGCCCATTACACTATGATTAAATGTAGTTGCTCGTTGAAAGAACTGTGTGTGTCTGTCCCTCGTGTATTTTCTGTGTTTTTATTCTTGCAGTGTGAACTGTACTCTATCCAACGCGCTCTGCTATGTGTACCTTGTGGACCGGAATGACCTTTCCGATCCTTCAATCGTCAGGAACTGCCGCTGTATTTAAGGACGGCTGAAAATTTTTGGTTAAAAAAAGACTCGACGAAGACACTGTGCGCTGCAGTATATTAGAGTTAATGTTGTCGACGCCACAGGATGAAGACACCTTCATAGATTTAATAATTATAACAATACCCTCAAAATCAACATATATTGGATCCATACAAGAAATTGCGTTAGAAAAACATGGTCTACGATTGCCGTAATTAAATGTTAAATAAATGTCGCCTACAAAGCTTCTAAATTTCATGATTCTTGACGTCAGGAATCAAAAGAAGCGAGGAGTAGAGGCGCGGCAGAAGAGAGCGCCTCTACTCAATTTGCATCGTTTTAGAAAATAAAAAAATAAAAAATACGACCCTTGGAATGTCAGTGCCCCTTTAAGTCCGCTCATCTTTACTCCTACTCCGACGATTCGAGTTTCATACTCCGAGCGCAGCAACTAAAAGGCATGTGGCGTACAGGAGCGCAACACACCGAAACTATCAACGAGCCGCATGAGCTCTATACAACCGCATGGTTATGACGAACCGGGCATCTTGTGGATACGGGTGGCAGAAGCCGAAATTATTTCGGGACAAATTATTCAGCCCTGTGTAGAGCGGCAAGGTGTAAAGCAAAAGAGACGGCGACGTTAAGTTACTACGAGCGTTTTAATATTCCTGAAAGTTTTAAAGACTCGCTTCGAGCAGACCATGCATGCTGTTCCGATTTAATTTAAAGACAACATTCTTGAACCCGCTTGTCGATCTAGGAAACCCTTAATCTTGTCAGATATCTCGTGGTTCCGTCTTGCAGCGCGAGACGGAGGCCGCCGATGCATATACTCGATACCGGCACGCCGTTGTTCAGTAGATAGCACGTCGATTCGTTTTCAGGCGAGATGCATGAACATGTTCCGGCTTTGCAATCAAAGTATCTTGATTCGCTTGGCTAAGCATTCTTAAAATTGCTGCGGTCCGACGGTCCTGTCATCACAACAACTTTTCTGTAGCTGAGTTGTCGGCACGCTACCGTTCAATAGATGAATTCGTTTGCTGCCAAGACGCCTGAACAAACCTTTTCCTCAACGCCAACTGACGTTTTGGCTTTCCGATGGAAGTATCTTTATTCCCTGGGATTAGAAAAGAGGCAATGGTCCGAATGTGTACTGATCTCGACAACCTTTCTGTCGCTGTGATATCGGCACGCTACCGTTTCATAGATGAATTCGTTTTGCGAAACGCTAATTGCTGTCTTGCCCTTGAAATCTAATCGGTTTTACCTACTGGATTCAGGACTAATCAACTAAAAATGAGCAGCGGCCCGGTTATGCCTTTCGTCTCGACGGTCTGAACAACAGCGCAGCCATCTTATTCGTTTACGTGACGTCACAGAGCGCGAAGAAGTCAATCGCGCTCAGAGAAACACACGGTGCACGAAGAGCGCGCTGGATTGTCAGTCTCCGGCGGCACTCCTGTCCGTTTAGTGAAAGGACCGCCGAACTCTCGCACTCCGAGCACGGGTTTAACTGACGTAACGCGCCTAATGACGCGCCGCGGGAGTGGGAGAGGAAAGGATCGAGCGGGCCGTCGCGGTGGCACAACATACGCGACAACGCAAACCTGAGGCGCAGCGACAAAGCTGTCTGCGCGAAACCGCCGACATTTGGGAGGAGGAAAGTTCGGCTCTTGGAAGACAACGGTGCGCGGTCCGTAGGCGGCGATCGAGAGAAGCTGCTGTGGCTGCATCTCAAACTGACGACGCCCGAGAGAACAGACTGGCTCTCAAAATACAACCGGATGCGGACCGTTGCTAGGTTGGAATTCTCATTCCTCGCCGAGTCGAAATCTCTGCGCTAAATTAAAATACATTTTATCAAGAATCGGCGTAGTGGCAGCAGCGAGTTCGGCATCATTTGTTTAGGGCGATAACGTGATCCACGCGTCCTAAGCGCCTCGAAGAAAATACCAAAATGGCCGTCCTGTGTGACTTATTCTTGTCATGACCGGACAGGTAACAAAGGAAATGAATGACGTACGGGTATTATGACTTGTCATTGGTGGGCGTACGGGTAGTCATGACTTGCCTTTGGTTGGCGGACGTTCTCAATTTAACGTCCGCCAAAATATGCGCCTCCCACAATCTGCGTCACGCGGACGTTTAATTCCGTTTTAATTAGCGAAATAGGCCAGACATAATAGTAGCTTTGTGTTTCTCAAAACTCTGAGATCCCCTTGTCACGTCGTGCGTTTCTTCAGTTCAGAGGGACTACAGCGGAATAACGCGCGAAAACATTTATTGCGGATTTCTATGAACATTCGTCATCTATTGGGAAACTATATGGCAAAAATCTGGAGAATTATATTATGGACCTTTCAATGTGAGCAAAACTGAGATAGTCTTCCGTTTTCTTTGTTATTTATTCGTGTCCTTGACATTGAGTCTCAAAAGAAAAAGAACAAGCAGTAAGACAAAAACACAGAAAGAAATGCACCCTGCAGATCTTTATTCGAGCAAAGTCCGAGAGCTTGCGGTGTCCTTGAAGATAAATTTGAAACGGCAGCCGGCGATCGGAGGGAGAGACCCCAGCTGCTGAACTACATCCCAGACCGCACATACAGCAAAAAAGCACAATCACAATCTCACGACGGCACTTGCTCGAGACTGTCGCACGTACCTCCAGATGTCGCGCTTGCGCTTCCTCACCCCCTGCTCTTTTCTCTCTACAAAGTAAAAAAGAGAAGAGAAAGGGAATAAATAAAGAGAAGACAGCTGTCAGCTTTGCCCAAGTTTGACACATTGGAAGAAACGGCGTGGGCCGCTTGCAGTAAAACAGACGAGCTCAGCACGACCGAGAGAGTGTGTCCCGCTCCATTTTTTCTTTCTTTCTACCCGATGGAGCGATTGAGTGTCCGGTGATTTTCCTCGTTTCATCCCACGATGGACCGCACCGGATGCTACGGACCATCAGAGACAATCCCATACCTTGTGACTGTCACGTGACTTTAGGGGGGGGGGGGGCTTAGCGCCACGCGCTTGGAGTGTAGTCACGTGACACATTCACGGCGCAGGATTGGCCGGAATGGTTCCAAGCACCCACTGCGGTTCACTGCGAAGTAAAACGCAGTATAGTCGTGGGTCGAGGAAGGCCAAATATTTAAAAGTCCCGAAAAAAAAAAAAAGTCTTGTCCCAACAAGTAGTAACCGCCCCCCTCCCACTTGTTTTCCGACTGTCGTTCTTGGAGTCTGGCTGGCGGGAACTAGGGCGACACCTGCAGTCTGTTATCCGTCCCATTCATCTTGCCGCTTGCAGGGCGTTCGGCTCGGGAAGATTAACTGGGGTAAGCACGTCGGTGTTAAAGTTGCACCACAGTGCACGGTGAACACCTCCCAGGTGGGCCTGCTATCTGTCTTCTGATCCAGGTGAAAGTAGGACGACTCTCGCCAATGCAACGTGGCTGCGTTTCAGCGGCGGCACAAAACCGAGCAAACGCGAAATCATCCGGGCTTCCATGCTAAGCCAGAGTCCCTGACAGGAGGAGAACTGCAGTGCTCCTTTTTTGGAGGCCCCGCCTCCGGCAGGCGATCGTTGCCTTCCGCCGTGCTTCGGTTGTGCGTGCATGCTCGAGGACCACGAGACGCCCGGGTGTTCTCGAAGGCGGGACGCCACTAACGGATCTCGCGACCGTTCTTAGTCTATCAGTGAATAGAGAACCTAAACATCTTGCATCTTTCGTACTTTTTAACAGAAAATGTATATCTTATTCAGCCGTCACTAAAAACCGTCAGGAAGGACTGTGACATAACATAATACTACGACCTCATGTGACATCATGGCGTTACATGACCGTATGAGCTATGAAGTCATACGACATCCTGATGTCGTGTGACCCTGACGTCCCTGTGTCACGTGACGTCTCATGCCATATGATATCACATTGCCGCTTGACATCATATCGTTACTTGCCACCGTAACGTGGCGTGACGTCATGAGATCGCCTGACTTTGTGACATCTCGCGAGATTATGACTAGGGTGTGTACTCTCCGGTGTTTATTTGTGAGAAAAATCGGCGGATGTTTTTCGGTGATTATTTATTTTCAAAACACCGGTGTATTTCAGTGGAACGTCTCACGACAAAGGCTAAAATCGGTGATTATCGGTGAAAAAAAAGCGATTGACCACAGACAAAGATTTCCAATGTTATTCACATAGTTCATACACTTCTCTAGGAAGCAACTATTTCTCACACTGGGTTATTATAGTAGATGCAAGCATACTTTCATGCTTGCATCTACACGCAAGGAACGTGCTGCCGTCATGGCAGCACGTTCCTTGCGGTTTGCAACCCGCATTTATGAAAACGCACGCTCCTGTACGACACGGACGTTGGCAGTGTCTTCCAAAAACCACAGCAACCTCTAAATACATGGCTTGCACCGACATCACTTGGCCAGACACAATGAGGAAAAGG